TAATTAAAGGATAATCATGCTTGAGGTGTTAATGAGTAAGTCATTCAGTTTATTTATATAAATCATGTTCTAGTTCCGATATAATAACGTTGTCGATTATTATTTTCGGAATTAATTATATTTTAGTCGAGATTACCGAAATCTATTTTCGACGTACCATTTACGTTCGAAATAATTTTGGTAATTAAGTATTATGTTTAATTAAATAATTAAACATATTTAGTGGTTAATTAAGTAAATTAATCACACTTTTTAAAGCCTAAGCCGTGAGTTTAGTTATAGTTGGGAGAATTGGATTCTTCCTTCATTTTGAGTATAAAACGTGGCATCATAAGGTGTAGCCTAGTCATTCCTCACATGTTTGTTAATTGACACTTGTTTAAACCTAAGACCATGTCTTGGTCTAACTTTTCAAATATGTTCCTCTTTGATATCGATGGGGTATAAAATGAGATGTAGAGACCGAATTTCCTCACTATTTTCACCCTATAAAAATTACTTTCTTCCAAGTTAAGGCGAGACAGTAGAGTGTTGGTTCAGAGGCTGAGAAGTGATCAAATTTTTCATACTTTAAGCCTAGCTATTGCACACAGCCTATGACACTGAGTACACCACACCGAGAGCTTTCTTCCGCCGGAGATCGGAGGCCGCAGAGGTATTATTAGGCTTTCTTCTAGCCGATTATGTCTGTAATAAGATGGTTTAATCAGAATTTAAGTCGAATTCATGTGGAAATCTTGAATTGTCCGGCCGGGTGCATGTCCGGGTGTAGGTGTGTGTGTGTGTCCGTAAGAGAATTCATATCAATCATGTTGTTTAAGAAATTTAGAGACCAGCAAGCCTTATTTAGCTGATGTTTATACGATTAATTGTTCAGTTTTTGGGTGCCTTGGCATAAAGATGTGTTAAATAGAAAGCCGGCCGAGTCGGTGGCCGCGCACATCGCGCATGACCGCGGGCCGCATTAGGTTAAGGTGTAGTTTCAGTTATTGACAGGTTATGCTGTGTATGTTATTACTACAGCCTTAAAGTATTGATTTATGTATAAATGTTCTTGAGTTGCTGTAGAAAAAGAAGGAGTGGTCGAGTGTCGGCCTATTGCCGTTAGCAGCGCACGGTTTGCCGCCGCGATCCTTATTTTATTATTAGTGCATAATTTGATAATTCCAATAAATTTCAGTAATTATGTTTAAGGTAAATCAGAATGTATTGATTAAGGTTGGACTGGTCAGAGGATATTGCCGGAAGGCCGGCAAGTATCGGCCATGGACGCGCTGCCGCATACAGTGGCAGCAGCGTTTAGGCCAGCAGGCAGGGCAGCAGGTAGCGTGCGCAAGCCGTGCTG